GTAAGACAGCAAACCATCAAAATCCTAGAGGAGTAGACAGAGAGAGAACAACCTCTTTGACCTCGGCTACAGCAACTTCTTGCTAAATATGTTTCTGGAGGCAAGGGAAACAAAAGCTAAAAGTGAACTATTGGGACCTCATCAAGATAAAAATCTTCATCAGGATAAAAACAGTGAAGGAATCAACAGAACTAAAAGGCAACTGACAGAATGGGAGAAGATATTTGCAAATGACATATTGGATAAAGGGTTAGTATCCAAAATCTATAAAGAACTTATCAAACTTAACACCCCAAAAATAAATAATCTAGTGAAGAAATGGGCAGAAGACATGAATAGACACTTTTCCAAAGAAGACATCCAGATGGCTAACAGACACATAAAAAGATGCTCAACAGCACAGGAAATCTAAATCGAAACCACAATGATATGCCACCTCACACCTGTCAGAATGGCTAAAATTATCAACTTAGGAAACAGCAGATGTTGGTAAGGATGCAGAGAGGGGCTTTGCACTGTTGGTGGTAATGCTAACTCGTGCAGCCACTTTGGAAAACTGGTGGAGCCACTCTGGAAAACAGTATGGAGATTCCTCAAAAATTAAAAATTGAACTTACCCTATGTCCCAGCAATTGCACCACTGGGTATTTATCCAAAGGATGCAAAATGCTGATTCGAAGGGCAATGCACCCCAGTGTTTATAGCAGCACGCTCATCAACAATAGCCAAATCATGGAAAGAACCCAAATGTCCATCAGCTGATTAATGGATAAAGAAATGTGGCATACACACACACACACACACACACACACACACACACACACACTGGAATACTACACAGCAATCAAATAGAATGGAATCTTGACATTTTTAACAACGTGGATTGAACTAGATTGTATTATGCTAAGCGAAATATGTCTATCAGAGAAAGACAAGTATCATATGGTTTCACTCATATTTGCAATTTAAGAAACAAAACATATGAACATAGGGGGAGGAATGTAAATATAAGATAAACACAGAGATGGAAGCAAACCATAAGAGAAAGTTAAATAGAACAAACAGAGTTGCTGGAGGGGAGGTGGGTGGGGGATGAGCTAAATGGCTGATGGGCATTAAGGAGGGCACTTGTTGGGGTGAGCACTGGTTATTATATGTAAGTGATGAATCACTGGGTTCTACTCCTGAAACCAATGCTACACTGTATATTAACTAGAATTTAAATAAATATGTTTTTAGAAATTCATACAATATGTTAGCACATATATGTGTGTGTGTGTGTGTGTGTGTGTGTGTGTACACATAATGGCCAAGGAAGCGGAATTGGTTTGAAAATCAATCAATATAATCTACCAAATTAACAGGTTAAAGAAGGAAAATCACATGAACATACCTATTTATGCAGAGTATTTGAAGAAATCAACATACATTCACACACACAAACACACAAGCAAAAACTCAGCAAATTAGTAATAGAGATAACGTCCTCAACTTGGTAAAGAACATCTACAAAAATAAATAGATAAATAAATAGATAATAAACAAACAAACCCTATAGCTAATATCAGACTTTATGTTGAAATATTAATGCTTTCCTTTTAAGAGTGAGAATACATATGAACAATTTCTCTCACCACTGCTATTCAACATAGTAATAGAATTTTTACCCAGTGCAATTTGGCAGGAAAAGAAGATAAAACACATATATATCAGAACAGAAGAAATATAACTTTCTCTATTTGCTGCTGGGATGATTGTCTACATAGAAAATCACAAGGAATCTATTAAGAAAACCTCCTACAAACTAATAAAGGAATTTATCAAGGTTACAGGGTACAAGGCCAACATGCAAAAATCAATTGTACTTTTTATATACTAGCAATAAATGTGTGGGAAATGAATTAAAAATACAGTCCATTTTACAAACTCTCAAAACAAGTGAAATACTTAGGCGTAAGTCTAATAAAATATGTATAGGATTTATATGCTGAAAAATTACAGAATGCTGATAACAATGTCAACAGGTATGGGTTAGCAATTCTGAAACTAATGTTTTTATATTCTAGGATTAAATAAATATTATTAATATTAAAAACTAGATTTATTGCTACTGGAGACAGACATTAAAAGTAAACAAAGGGTGAAGGTTACAATTATATCTGTGGTATTTGATTGGAATGGAAAGAATGGGAACTCATTTTTTAGAAATATACAGATAATCATAGAAGTAAATATAGATAATTATGTATCTGTGTCTGCTAAGAGGGCCTAGAAGCAGTGCCATTCCAGTAATAATGAGCACATTTAGTAGCCAGATCTTGGTTTCTAAATACAATTCTCCAATAAAATAACCAGAACTGTTTGGAGAAATAGCTGATGCCAGGTCTGGAGCATGGGAAATAAAAAATGATATTAGAATGTCTTTTGGTGCCAGAAAGTAAGGAAATACTAACAAATTGCAGGGACACAATGAAAGGACACAGGAGCCAACATGAAATTGATCCCAATGGTCAAAATGAGAATATTTGAGCAAAAAAATAATGATAGTATTGAATTATAATCCAGAGGAAAAAAGTAAACATGTATGATTTCATACTGATATAAAACAAACAAACACAGGGGAGGAAGAATTAACAGCTCTTTCTTATCATAGAATTTTATTTAACAAAATAGGATGAATAAGAAAAATAGCAAATCACTACAGTAAATAACACAGTATTTGCAGGCAAGAATCATGAAAGAATACTGAAATTAGTTGATCAAAATATGGCAAGAATCAGAATATCTACATCTTCTCGAAATATCTCTCTGCAAGATACTTATTAATGAGACAGGGAAAAATAGTGTTTTTATGGTGGAAAAGTCTGACATCACCAGTGATAAGATGTATTAATATTTTGTACCATTAATATGATGCACTGAGGGGGTACAGCATCACTTCTTCCTAAAAGTGCATAGCCTAAATCTAACCATGAGAAGACATTTAAAACCCCAAGATGACTGAATCACACAAAATAACTGACCAGTTGTGTGCCCTTTTTCCATGTAAAGTGACCTATTTACAGGTTCTGGGGATTAGGATAGGAACATTTTGGGGGATGATTATTCTGCCCACTGCAATTCACCCTCTGGCCCCAAAATATTTACTTCCATCCCACATATAAAATGCATCCAGACTATTCCATGTTCCCCCACAGTCTCAACTGATAATAGCATAAACTCAAGTCCAAAATGTCATCTAATTGAGGCTGGATGAGGGAAGATGGCGGTGTAGGAGGACGCTGGGCTCACCGCGCAT